CTTGACGACACATCTGAAGCCCTGGGTTTCAGTCTTGGTACAGCCACCTAAAAGGGGGTTGAGAGGGCTTGATGTGGAAGCACAGGTCTATAACCCTGGAGGCAGGAGGATCTTGTGTCTAAAAGTTCCATTAGACCCCACTTTTAAAAAAGCTTGTAGCTGGGCAGGGGTGGCGCCTGCCTTTATTCCCAGCACTCCGGAGATAGAGGCAGGCGGATCTCTGTGAACTCAAGACCAGCCTGGTCTACCAGAGTTAGTTCCAGGACAGCCTCCAAAGCCACAGAGAAACCCTGTCGGTGTTTGATGCCCCGAGTTCAACTCTGGGAACCCACAGAGTAGAAGAAGGTAAACCAACTCTCTTTTTCTTTTTCTTTTTTTTTTTTTTGGAGGCTGTCCTAAAACTCACTCTGTAGACCAGGCTGGCCTCGAACTCACTGAGATCCACCTGCCTCTGCTTCCTGAGTGCTGGAAATAAAGGTGTGCACCACCAACGCCCTGAGGTAAACCAACTCTTAACAAGTTGTTTTCTGACCTCCACACACGAGTTCCCCTACCCCCCCCACAATAAATAAATATGAAAAAATGACACAGTTTCCTCCTATTAGCTGCTTAATTTAAGAAGGAAAAAATCAAAAGAAACTCTAAGGATGTAGGGAAATGAGAGGTGGGCAACACTTTATAACCACCAATCTAACTTCATCTATCACCCACCTTTTTCTAGGTGAGGTGGCTATCACCAGCAAGATTAGCTAGGCCATGTCTTATGGAATTCTTTTGTCTAAACAACTGGTGTATAAAAACTAGCTTCAAGTCATCAGAAATGAGGCTGGGCATGATGATGCAAGCTTTTAATCCCAGCAGAAACAGTTGGATCTATCTGTGAGTTCAAGGCCAGCCTGATCTACAGAGTTTCAGGACAGCCAGGGCTACACAGAGAAATCCCGTCTCAAAAAACAATCACGGATCAAGTTTCTGGGGCAGGAAGATGTCTTCCAATTACAAACCACTCTCACTACCATTTGAGATTTACGGAAGATAGAGGGCACAATTCAAAATTTGAAGTAGTGGGAAAGGCCCTGGGAGTAATCCTCAGGGCATCCCTACAATACGGTCTGAATCAAGTGACTCAGCTCTGTATTTCACCTCTCCCACCAGGCATGTTTTAAAAGAAGCATTTCTTGGCCAGGCGGTGGTGGCATACTCCTTTATTCCCAGCACCTGGGAGGCGGAGACAGGTGGATCTCTGTAAGTTCAAGACCAGCCTGGTCTGCAGAGCAAGTTCCAGGACAGGCTCGAAAGCTACACAGAGACACCCTGTCTCCAAAAAAACAAAAAGCTTTTCTTTGGTGAAAGGTAAGTTACACCCACCGTCTAATTTTTAGATTGTGGCTGTAACCTCTGAAACATCCAAAGGCGCAACTGTAGAGAAGGGAAGCATCCACAGATGAGTAGCAGTCGGGTTACAAAACACCCCAGGTGGTTCTTCAATTCGGTCCTCCCTTCCATCAGTGGAACAACCACACTCTATACTGGGAATTCCGAAGACACTCAAGAAAGGAAAACATGACTTCAGATCTTGACACAGGAAAGAAATTCTAGCATGATCCAACTGTGCCATGTTGGAGGGCAGTGATCCCAAGGATAACGGCATCTCTGGGCCCAAGGAGTCTGCACACTCAATGTTACAACCAGCCAACTCCATTTTCTAATCTTCTCTCTGCTTCCATTCAAGTTTTGTTCTAGTTGTTTTGGGCTTTTTCTTTTTTGGAGGTTGGGCACATTCAAAACTCATTACCAGTAGGGAAACCAGGCAACCTGTAGCTAATGGTTACACCAGCAACTGCTGGCATTTGAAAAGCATGGAGAGTCAATTGGACACAGTGGTGTGACAAGCTTCACTCCTCTCCACCCTTCTCCTTCAAAGGTGCTGCGCATTTAAGGGAATCAAAGCCACGAGACTTTAGAGGTCAGGTGTGGTGGCCCAGGTCTATAATCTGCCTCATACTCAGAAGGCTGCGTCAGGAGCACTCCTTTGCATTTGGAGTCTGAACTACACCATGAAAGGCTAATGTTCGCAAACAAACAAAAAACCCTTCAAATAAGCACCCAAGGCCAGGCACTTGGGAGGTAGAGGCAGGTGGATCTCTAAGAGTTTAAGGATGACCAGATCTAACACAGCAAATTCCAGGCCAGCCAGAGCTGCACAGTGAACCCTTGTGTGGTGGCTTGAATGAGAGAGGTCCCACACACCCCTATATTTGAATGAGAGAGAGGCCCCACACACCCCTATATTTGAATGAGAGAGGCCCCACACACCCCTATATTTGAATGAGAGAGGTCCCATACACCCCTATATTTGAATGAGAAAGGTCCCATACACCCCTATATTTGAATGCCTGAACCCCAGTCTGTGGAAGTGTTGGGAAGGATCAGGAGGTGTGCTCCGATGTTCTCTGCCTGCTGCCTAAGGATCTGAATGTTGTTAACTCCAGCACCATGCCTGCCTGCCAACATGCCCCTTGCCTTGATAACCCTCTGAAACGTTAACGAAGATACTATGTCTCAAAAGCAAAGCAAAAATTAAAGATGAGAGCCAGTTGCTGGAGAGATGCTTCAGGAGTCAAGAAGTGCCTACTGCTCTTGCAGAAGACTGGCGTTCCATTCCCAGCACTCACAATGGCCAGGGGACCCTATGACATCTGGCATCCGCACACCTACACACTCATGAGCACAGGAGTGCACACTCTCACTTTCTAAACTAAAAACAAATCTTAAAAAGTAGGCCAGGAGTGGGGAGTGGCACACACCTTTGATCCCAGCATTCCTCTCGGGAAGCCAAAGCAGGTAGGCAGATCTCTGTGAGTTCCAGACCAGCCTGGTCTACATAGCAAGTTCCAGGACAGCTGAAACTACATAATGAGAACCTGTCTCAGAAGCAGCCCCAGAGGTCAGGGGAGCAACTCATAGTCTGTGCTTGGTGTATATGTAGTCTGGGGATATGATCGACAACACAGAATGAATGAATGAATGAATGAATAAATAAATAAATGAGACAGGTCATGCCCAAATCAAGGCTTTTCAAGGCAAGAAGGTGGCAAAATGGTAGCAAAGGAAATCCATTTTGAAATCAGTCTTGGTGTCAAATCCCCAAACCTCAATATCCTGTTTAAAAAAGCAGAGCAGCTTGTTTCAAAAGTGAATTAAATAAAGATATATCCATGCCACGTGCATTTAATCCCAGCACTTGGGAGGCCAAAGAAGGTGGCTCTCTGAGTTCCAGGCTAGTATAGTCTACAGAGCAAGTTTCAGGATAGCTAGGCTACATAAAACATGCGAAAACCAGGGTTTTGAAACCCTGTCTCAAATAAACAAGCAAAAAAAAAAAGTGTGCTTGGAAATAAACAAGGTTTTTCTTTTTCTTTTCTTTTTAAATGCAGGGGTTCAGAGAAACCCTGTCTCGAAAAAAAAAATGCAGGGGTAACATGAGGGTGTCTGGGTGATTCATGTACTCCTAGTGACAGACACTAAATGCCTCTACCGGAAATTGTGCATTTTCTGGCAGAAGTCACTATTATGCACACTTCCTAACACGTAGCACACACTCGAAAATATTTGTGGAATAAATACCCAAATGACACCTGTTGCTCTCTATACAAATCCTTAACTTGCTGGGTACGGTAGCACATGCTTTTAATCCCGGCACTCGAGAGGAAGAAGCAGGCAGATCTTTTTGATTTCGAGAATAACCTGATCTACATAGTAAGTTCCAGGGCAGCCAGCGCTACACAGAGAGACCTTGTCTCAAACAAAACAAAAACAAAACGAAAAAAAAAAACTTTGATTAAAGCTGGAAGGGGTACCTTAAAAACTACTAATTTCTTAACCAAGCACTCCGTCAAATGCTCGATTATGTTAAGTGGGAAAACATCTCCAATCTTTCAAGAAATGCTGAACCAGCGGAAAAAACTTCGAAGCCAAATTTCAACATTCCTGTGAAGATACACCCACTGCTGCACTGATCCGAAGCGCCAGGGGCAGACAGACACGGTTTCTCTTCAACGCCGGTGTGACTCCTCACACATAAGCTTTTGAGCCCAACGCGGCACAGGCACGGACACATGGTCACCAAGACACATGGAGGATTACCGTCTAACTCAACTCTAAAATTACTATACTAATCACGAACCTATTACAAGAGTCTCTCTCTACTTGAGATAATCTTTTGTTGTTGTTCCTGTAACTTTTGGAGGCGAGCAAAAACTCCCAAATCATTCCGATCGGTAATCCCCCCTTCTCTTCGAAGGCATAGGGGCTATCTTACAAATCACACCCTTCTTCCCTTCCCTCCACCCGGAGGAACAAACTCCGAGATCCTCCCCCGTTGCGCAGATCATTGGGTGGGTCTCGGGAAAGAGCGGATGCTTGCTGAGTTTAGGGGAGCTCTGCTGAGATGCCCAGGAAATCCAACTACCTCGGGCTCTCGGAGTAAAACTGAGAGGAAAAAAGAAAAAGAAAAAAACCAGGCTCGCCCACCGAGGCGGAAGGCGCACAGCGGCGGGGGATTTCGGCTCAGCGCCGAGTGGGTCCCAGAGGACACATGGTTGCTTGCTCCCCGCTATCTGGGGGACTCCTCTTGCTCTTCCTCCGGAGCTAGGCTCGCTGCCCGAACCCCTCCTTCATCAGACGGAACACATGAACTTTAAAATGGTCCCTAGGGCGCGAGGACTAGAGAGAGAGTGGTCCGGGGTAGAGGGTGGGGCGCCCTGAACGACGCGCACACCGCGGAGCGGACAGACACCCGGCAAAGGTGGAGGGAGAAATGGAACGCGGCCCCTTTAAGAGGCCTTCACGGCACTCCGGGACCGGGGGCCTCTCTTCTACCTCCGGGCCCGGTGTGTGGGACCCTTCCTAGGGGAAAACTATCCCCAGACCCGCTCCCGGGAGGCTTCCCTCACGCCAGGTCCGCCCGGCCCTGCCACGGGGCGGCAGCTCCTCCTTACCCCGCTGTCTGCCGCCTCCTCCCAGCTCTCAGCGACCTCCTCATCTTCCATCTTACTCGCCGCTTTCCCTCCTCCCCCAACCCCTCCCCGCGCCTGCGCCTTGAAGCGCGCCTCGGTCGCGGGCGGAGGCACGCAGGGCTTTCCTCAATGGACCACGCCCCCTCGCCCAGCCCGGAAGAGGCTCTAGGGAAGGCCCTAAAGCGAACCTGGTCCGCCATCATGGAAGAGGGCAGCGAAGGGAGAGGACGTCCATCTTTCTTGAGGTCAACGCTTTAACTCGTTATCGAAGAGTTCAAGTGAAGTTACCTGCTTGAGTTCCAGAACTGTGTACATTGGAACCATCTTCTCTAAGATCAGGAAAATATTGAAAAAAACATTTTTTCCTCCAAAATTTGAATCTCAAAGGAAAAAAAAGTGAGCCTAAGTTTTTCTTTTTATTTGTGCCTAGGTTTTTCTAAGTTACAGGTTAGAAAGCCTGGTTATGTGTTTTGTCCTACAACATTCTGAAAACATTTCTGTACTTCAACAAAGGATTTAAAATATCTTTTAGGGGGGGCTGGAGATATGGCTCAGAGGTTAAGAGCACTGACTGTTCTTCCAGGGGTCCTGAGTTCAATGCCCAGCAACCACATGGTGGCTCACAACCATCTACAATTCAATCTGGTGTCCTCTTCTGACATTGAGGCAGAACACTGTATATGTAATAGATAAATCTTTTTTTTTAAATGTATACAGTGTTCTGCCTGCAGGCCAGAAGAGGGCACCAGATCTCATTACAGGTGGTTGTGAGCTACCATGTGGTTGCTGGGCATTGAACTCAGGACCCCTGGAAGAACAGTCAGTGCTCCTAACCTCTGAGCCATCTCTCCAGCCCCTAAGAGATATTTTTTTTTATAAGTGGGCAGAAGACTTTTTTTTTAAGATTTATTTATTGGGCTGGAGAGATGGCTCAGAGGTTAGGAGCACTGGCTAGTCTTCCAGAGGTTCTGAGTTCAATTCCCAGCAACCACATGGTGGCTCACAACCATCTGTAATGAGATCTCATACCCTCTTCTGGCATACATACCAGAACACTGTATGCATAATAAATAAATAAATCTCTTAAAATATATCTCTTATACACAAAACATTGTATTACTCGGGCAATAGTACACTCCTTTAATCCTAGCACTTGGAAGACATAGACAAGCAGATGTCTCAGAGTTTGAGGCCAGCCTGGTCTAGTGATCAAGTTCCAGGACAGCCAGGGCGACACAGGAGAACCTTGTCTTGGAGAACTAGAATAAACAAATAAATACATATAATGTTATATTGTGTCTGCAGTAATCCAGTCAGGCCCAGCCCCAGCCTTGGGGGCCTGTCAGTGTCTCTGTGCATGGCAGGCAGTGCCCTGGCTCTGTACGCAGGCATGGAGGTTTCCTTAAGAGTCAAACTCCACCTCCACCAACTTTTTCTCTTCTCCTTTCTCTTTTCTCTGAGGAGGCAGCTGTCTGTCTCTCTATCTCTTTCTCTCTCTTATCTCTTCCCTTCCCTTTCTCCCTTACCTTCACCCAATAAACTTTCCACAGAAGTTCTGCCTGTAGGTCTCTGTATCCCACCCGTCATTTGTCCTTCACCCACTGTGGGATTCGCTAAAGATCAGACCTCTCACTGTATTATTACAGTCTCTATTTGACAGGGTGATTTTTTTTTTTTTTTGGTTTTTCGAGACAGCGTTTCTCTGTATTGTTTTGGAGGCTGTCCTGGAACTCACTCTGTAGACCAGGCTGGCCTCGAACTCACAGAGATCCGCCTGCCTCTGCCTCCCGAGTGCTGGGATTAAAGGCATGCGCCACCAACACCCGGCTCAGATAGGGTGAAATTTTTACAGTATTTTTTTACTCATAAAATAGTATTCTAGGACTGGAGAGATGGCTCAGTGGTTAAGAACACTGACTGCTCTTTCAGAGAACCCAGGTTCCTTTCCCAGCACCCACACGACAACTCACTACTGTCTGTAATTCCAAGATCTGACACCCTCACACAGACATGCAAGCAGGCAAAACACCAGTGAACATAAAATAAAAATAAATTATTTAAGAAACAAAACAAAACAGTATTCTAGGGGCTGGACTCAGCACTGGCCATTCTGGCAGAGGACCCAGGTTCAGCTCACAACCATTTGTAACTTGGGTTATAGGGGACTTGGTGACTGTGGGCACCAAGTAGCTTGTGGTGTACAGTCCTAAAATTTTTAGTTATGCTCTCTAAGGACCATGTCGAATCAGTAACTGACTGGTGTGGTGAAGTCATTGATTAAAGAAACATGAAAAGCAGCAAGAAGAACTAGCTCAGTGGTTAAAAGTGCTGGTTGCTCTTCTAGAGGTCTTGAGTTCAATTCCCAGCAACCACATGGTGATTCACAACCAACCATGATGAAATCTGGTGCCCTCTTCCAGCCTGCAGACATACATGCAGGCAGAACAATGTATACATAATAAATAAATAAATAAATATTAAAAAGAAAAGGAAAAAATGATGGCTGAAGATGGTGAAAATTACACCGTTTAGCAGCAGGCCTGCAAGAGTCCAGGATGATGACCCCAGAACACCAGCTCTGATTACAGGCTGCATATACCGATCTCCAGCAGATATCAGAGAGTGGAAAAGACTTGGAAGAAGCTGAGGAGTATCAAGAAGCACATGGAACACTATTCAGCGAAGTTAGAAGTCTGACCTTTAGCGGGGTATTGGTGGCGCACGCCTTTACTCCCAGCACTCCAGAGACAGAGGCAGGGATCTCTGTGAGTTCAAGACTAGCCTGGTCTACAAGAGCTAGTTCCAGAACAGCCTCCAGAGAAACCCTATCTCAAAAAAAAAAAAAAAAAAAAAAGAGAAGTCCGAACTTTTTCTTTACCAGGTGGGTTTTTTATTTTTTATTTTTTTACATAAAGTCCTGGGGTTCATTCTATAATGCATTATTTTTGACTACTTGCTTTGTGTTTCTTAATATGAGAACATATTTCTTTTTATGCAGTTACACATATTTTTCTTTCTTTTTCTTTTTGTATTGTTTTGTTTTGAGACAAGGTTTCTCTGTGTAGTCTTGGATGTCCTGGAACTCACTCTGGCAGGCTGGCCTGGAACTCACAGAGATCCACCTGCCTCTACCTCCCAACTGCTGGGATTAAAAGCATGCATCGCTACCACCGCCTGGCTGCACATATTTTTCTTTGCATAATCTAATGTTTCAGAGAAATGAGGTCACAGATCTCTGTGAATGTCAGGTCAGTCTGGAGAACATAGTGAGACCATGTTTAAAAAAAGTTTGATAATATTTCATCTAAACTCAGACAAACAGAATTTCCCACTACTGAAGTTGTTCTGGGCCTTTAATAAGAGAAAAATATAGTATATTTTTTAAATGATTGGGATTTTTTTCAGATTTAAAAAATATCTTTATATGGATGTTTTGCTGTGTATACCTGTTACATACAGATCAGGTGGAGGCCAGATCCCCTGGAACTGGAGTTATTAATGGTTCCTTGGGAGCTACTATGTGGGTGTAAGAACTAAACCCAGGTCCTCTACAAGAGCAGCAAGTGTTCTTAAATAATAAGCCATCTCTCCAGCCCAGCATGGTAGAGTCCTTGCTTAGCATGCACACTCACAAATGCACTGTTCTATCCATAGCAACCCACACAAAAAAACTGTGCTTGTGCTGGGAGGTAGAGGCACACACCTTAAATCCCAGCATCTGGGAGGCAGAGGCAGGAGGATCTCTGTGAATTTGAGGCCAGTCTGGTCTACAAAACAAATTCCAGGACAGTTACCTGTCTATCCAGGACAGAAACCCTATCCTGAAAAAACAAAACAAAACTGTTATTTGTTCCTGAATAGTGTTCGTGTGTTATTTTTCTTCAGTATATAAGTGGGCTCCTACAGGGTCTGGAGCAATGGCTCAGTGGTTAAGAGCTGGCTGTGCTTCCAAGGACCCAGGTCCAATTGCCAGCACCCACATGGCAACTCACAACTGTCTGTAACTCCAGTTCTAGGAGATCTGACCCCCTCATAAGTCATACATACATGCAGGCAAAACATTAATGCATATTTAATTTTTTTTTTTTTTGGTTTTTCGAGACAGGGTTTCTCTGTGGCTTTGGAGGCTGTCCTGGAACTGGCTATGTATACCAGGCTGGCCTCGAACTCACAGAGATCCACCTGCCTCTGCCTCCCGAGTGCTGGGATTAAAGGCGTGTGCCACCAACGCCCGGCAATAAATCTTAAAAAATATTAAATATGGCCGGACGTTGGTGGCGCACACCTTTAATCCCAGCACTCGGGAGGCAGAGGCAGGTGGATCTCTGTGAGTTCGAGGCCAGCCTGGTCTACAAGAGCGAGTTCCAGGACAGCCTCCAAAGCCACAGAGAAACCCTGTCTCGAAAAACCAAAAAAAGAAAAAAAAAGATTTATTTATTATGAATACAACATCCTGCATCCATGTATGTCTGCACATACCAGAAGAGGGCACCAGATCTCATTACAGATGGTTGTGAGCCAGTGCTCTTAACCTCTGAGCCATTTCTCCAGCCCGAATACTAAATATTTTTTTAAAGTGGGCTCCTACCAACACCTGGAGTTTGAACAAGTCCTGTGATCATATGAAATTTACATTAACTTTCCGTGTCTCAGTTTCCCTAAGCTTAGAAAAGTAGAATTAATCATAGCCACTTCAAAACTATATCAAGTCACTATGCTGAGGGTTGAGGATATAATTCAGTGATGGAGCACTTATCTAACATGCATGAAGCCTAGGTTGTTTGTTTGGTTGGTTTTTGAGATAGGGCTTTCTGTGTAGATAGTACTCAATCTGTAGACCAGGGTCGCCTCAAACTCACAAAGATCCACCTGCCTCTGCCTCCCAAGTGCTGTGAAGGAACCCTAGGTTTAATACCACACCTTACTATACCGAAGAGTTGCAACCAATATCTGTCTCACTGTATAAATTCAAAGGGTTATGGGTAGGGGCAGGAGGGGTGCCTTGCCAGTCTGAGGAAGATGTACAATTCTCATCCCTCTAATCCTTTCCCCAAACACAGAAGGCGAGGAGAAAACACCATGTGTTTTCA